CTGGGGGTGTCAATGTGGATGTCCCCGTGGTGGCTTACCGAGGAGGATGTTTACGATTTCGGCACGGCCGCGGGTGACAATGATGAAGTCCTCATGATCGCAGTACACGGGAGAGGTTTTTAACACGACTTTGCCGCGATCACAAGTTTCGATGATGATGTCCCCGTGATTGCGGCCCGCGGGAGATGTTCACGATTTTACTGCGGTCCCGGATAGTTATGATCACTAAGCCATCATAGTTATGGTTTGATTGTCATAGATGGCTTTGACTTGGTTTAGGAGAGATGTCCACGATTTCATCCAGGATCACGGGTGTCGATGATGATGTCCCCTTGATGTATAGGAGATAGTCACTATTACTTCCGCGATCGCAAGGAATTTTCACCACAGGGGGAGGGCCGCTCAAGTAATTTGGCCTAGGGCCGCAAGTACCCTAAATCCGGCACTGCAACTGACACAATGTTGGCAGTTTTTACCAGACTTTAAAAACTGCTCTTGGTCGTTTCGATAAATTTGCAGACGGAACTTGAATTTATAGTCTGGATGAGACTGGAACTACCACCGTGCAAAAGCCTAAAAAGTTTATAGCTGAAAAAGGTATAAAACAAGTCAGCCAGTGTACCAGTGCTGAAAGGGGTGATCTTGTCACTAGGCCTACATGCTGCATTATAAGTGCAACTGGCAATAGTCTTCCACCAGCCATGGTGTTTCCCAGGAAAAACTTAAAGGAACATATGATAAATGGGGTACCTCCTGGTACATTAGGATTAGTCTCAGCTACACAGGGTGGATGAATGGTGATCTATTTGTAGATGTCATGAAACATTTTGTCAAGCATAGTGGTTTTTCCAAAGATAACCCAACAATTCATGGATAACCATGAAAGTCATTTGACAATTCAAACTCTGAACCTGGCAAAAGACAACGGTGTTACCATTGTTACGCTTCCCCCTCACTGCAGCAATAAAGCTACAACCCCTCAATGTAAGTTGTTACGCACCATTTAAAGCTCAATACAACAAAGCTGTGGATTCTTGCTCCTTCATCATCCTGGAACAAGGATGACTATTTACCAAGTAGCCCATTGTGTGGGATTGGCCAATGATCGAGGTCTACTCCTTCAAACATCAAATCTGGTTTTAAGGCAACACGAATTTTTCCATTCGACGATAAGATATTTACAGATGACGACTTCCTTTGCAGCTACGTAACGGATAGAACAACATCACAACAGTCACCACTAGTTGCGTAAAGTCCAATTACTGATCCAACAACCTCAGCTGCTCAAAGACCAATTACTGATTTAACAACATCAGCTGCTCAAAGACCAATTAAGCCTACTGATCCAACAACATCAGCTGCTCAAAGACCAATTACTGATCCAACAACATCAGCTGCTCAAAGACCAATTAGGCCTACTGATCCAACAACATCAGCTGCTCAAAGACCAATTAGGCCTACTGATCCAACAACATCAGCTGCTCAAAGACCAATTAGGCCTACTGATCCAACAACATCAGCTGCTCAAAGACCAATTACTGATCCAACAACCTCAGCTGCTCAAAGACCAATTACTGATCCAACAACCTCAGCTGCTCAAAGACCAATTACTGGTCCAACAACCTCAGCTGCTCAAAGACCAATTACTGATCCAACAACATCAGCTGCTTAAAGACCAATTACTGATCCAACAACATCAGCTGCCCAAAGGCCAATTACTGATCCAACAACCTCTTTTATTTCCACCCCTTCAACCAACACAGCAGGCAATCAGAGACCTGCAGGCAATGAGAGACCTACTGACAATAGTCAGGTCAATGGAAGTCCTGACGGATTCGTGAGCCCGGATGTCTTTAAAGGGTTCCCAAAGGCTGCGGAGCGTAAAAAAAACAAATTGAGGACGAGCTAAATCATACACATGCATAGCAACTGATACATCTGAAAAAAAAAGGAGAAGAAAGATTTTGAAAAGAAAAGCAAATCAAACTCAGAAAGCTAACCGCATTAAAACAAAATTATTGTTTGTTACTAAGAGGGGGTTCATATATAGCAAGGGAGCTACCTGACTACCAATCTTCAAGCAGCAGTAATGAGCAGCTTCACTTCACTTCAGACGGTGAAAGTGGCGCAGAACTTGATGGTATCGGCCCAATTGAAGACAGTAGGAAAATTAAGAAAATACATCCAGATTTCTTTGAAAAACTAGACGGATCACCAGTTGATGATGATTTTGTGTTGGTAGAGTTTAGGCCTAAAGACGACCTAACACGCAAGGTTTTTTTATATTGCAAAAGTGTTAAAACCTGAAGACTTTGCTGGAGAAGTTGAAGTGAGTTTTTTGCAAAAAAGCCCTAAGTTTGAAGGGTCATTCACTTTTCCAAATGTTGCTAATGTCGCACTTGTTAAAATGAGTGACATTAAGATGATATTGTCAGTTTCTTCTGAGACTGGGTAAACAAAGAGACTTAAGTCATTTTTTAAGTTTGAAGTAAATTTTGACTTGCTTACTATTAACTTATTCCAAGTAGAAGCATTTGACATTGTTTGTTTTCAAAAATGTGTATCATTTCAGATTAATAATAGTTTCTTTGTACAGTATTTTTACGTTTTTACTAACGAGTAAAAACGTATGATACGGGCCACGTTCCACTGTGGCCCGTATCATGTTCCACTACCTACATAGGTTTTGTAAAACAGTTCATAAAAATTAGTATTAATTTAACTATCAATTTTAATATATGTTAAATATATGCGGGAAAGGTTGTTCTCTAAGTACATTTTTCTTCTGAAGCTGTAAAGCGAACAGGTAAAATTGTTTTGTGATTTTTGTTCCATTGTGGCCCACCCTCCCTACTTTTAGTGCGATAAAAGTGAGTCAGTATAACACCTGTCATTCTGAGGAGCACTTTAAGTATGCAAAACGTGTCTTAAGATACTTAAAGATAACCAAATCTTATTGTATTACGTTCACAGCTGATGAGGAACCTCTACATGGTTTTGTTGATGCCAGTCATGGAAACAACTTTGATAGGAAAAGTTTTACCGGATATTTTTTTATACTGTGTGGAGGACCTATGTCATGGGGAAGTAAGAAACAGAGATGTATAACTCATTCCTCAACAGAGTCAGAGTATGTAGCAATGGTTCAGGCATGCAAGCAAGCAATGTTTCTGAAACACTTGTTGGAAGAGCTGGGAATATTTCTTAAGCATGTAAATTTGCATTGTACAATATGCCAGCAATGAAGATTTTACAGAAGAGAACCGTGAATGACAAGACCAAACATATAATTCATAAAAAGCTATTTGTCACAGACAACTAGCTAAGCTAACTAAAGAGAAAACTAGTTGTGCTGAATTACTTTCCAACTTCCAGGATGGTAGCGGACATTTTGACAAAATCACTTGGCAAAATCAAGCATGATGGTTTTATGACCAACCTTGGTATTACCTCAATGAAGGATTAAGATTAAGGAAGAGTGTTGGAATTTGTAATCTTGTCCCTCATTGCCTTGTTGGTTTTCAAGCTTAAAGCAGCTATCATGTATGATATTATATGTCATGTGTTTGATATGTTTATTTTGTTGTTGTAAATAAACTTCACTTCCACTATGGACTTTAGAAACCATACTGTGTAGTCACTTTATTCCTAATTATTATTTTAAAAAATCAATAAAAAAGTGTTAATATACTTGTGCTACTAGGGTAATGAAATACATTGTTCATTGTAAAAGAAGATCATTCACAATATTTTTTTATTGTGAACATAGGTTAGGATTTGTGGAATAAGATAGTGAAAAACGAGCCTATTGAATGTTGGTGGGTGAAAAAAGTGCATTGAAAGTGACACTTGTACCTAACAGGGGTAATAGTGTAAGATGAAATTATATTCAAAGTGGTATAAAAAAGCGGCAAAGTTTAAGGATGACAAAAAATTAACTTAAGAAGATCATACTAAGCAAACCTACAAATGCCAAGATAAAACAAACTTGTAAGTGTATGGATGTCAAGCTATGGATGAAGGAGAAGATAATAAGGTAACTGACACAACAAATTGGAGGAATAACGTATGTGACTCTGAACTTTGTTAGTTAAGACAAGAGTAAAAGTTACCTGTGTACTGTGATGATAAAAAGTGCATGTGTATCTTAAAAAATCATTATTAATAGTCTCCTAAAAATTAAAACTATTTTAGATTGCTTGAACATTCTTTATTTAATAAAACTTGCATATGTGCTGTGTTTGAACTTTGCCACAAAATGGCTGCTATTGACTAAACTTAATAACTACTAATAACCCCTTGTTTAACCCGAAGTTTGATAAAAATCTGCACTTTAATTTGTGCCAGTGAGTGTCCAAATTGAACACTCACTGGCACAAACTGGAGGGTTCCCAAAGAGAACATTTTAAGTAGCCTAATAATAATATAACATTTAAAGAGTGTTTTTTATGTAAATTAATGTTTAGACTTTATAGTTTAAGAGGGGTTTAGATTAGGGACAAGAGCCAATAAAAAAAATTGTTTTGACCTTCTTCTCAGAAATTTGTAGAAATTGTAAAAAATTGCAAAGGAAATTGGCAATTTAATCCAATTTCTAGGGGGGTAATTGTAGTGGGTGAACTATTTAACAAGAAACTTGGGTCAAAACAATAAATTAAAGCTGAACCTAGACATATAAATTTTAATTTGCGAACACTTTATGAATTATGAACAAAATTAACGGTAAATAAAGTTAGGAGAGTGGACAAGGTAGAAGACGTATATTCAAAACAACAACAGATAACAGACAGTCATTCAGTGAAAAAACATAGCGTTATGACAAAAAAAAACATGTATTACCTTTTAAAACAAAAAGTCAGTTGCAAGCTTGCGGGGTAAAATTCAATTTTGGATTAAAAAATCAAGTTGTTAGGTTGGATCAACTGAACGAAAGTTGATGTTCTACTAGTTGACCTGTTCATCAATAGGAAAATTACTAATTTCTGATCATCTGTTCCTACCTGGCCTGTGGGGGTCACGTACTGCCACCGGGATGCATTGTAGTTACCAATAGTTGTTTCCAACACTACCATTCGTGAGCTTGTTGTGTAAAAGTCATCTTGAGATGTTATTACTCCAGGATAACCAGAGAAGCTTATCATACGAGTTGGTGCAAAAGATTTACTCTTTCCCGTCTTATGAAGAGGCATGTTGTACTTCTTTAGTTGACGATACATTTGAGAATAACTGTGAACATCAAATAAAGAAATCAAAACAATTGCTTTATGAACTGTGGATGTGTGTTTGGTAGATACCTACTCTAAATCACATTGATGAGGTTTTGTTTTAATTTTTTTTAAATAATAATCAATCTATAGCCTACTATTATATAAAAATCTAATGGTGTGTGTCCGTGTGTGTGTGTGTGTGTGTGTGTGTGTGTGTGTGTTACTCAATCACGTAAAAACTACTGAACCGACTGGGCTTAAATTTTACAAGAATATAGCAACTATAAGACCTGTTTGTTACCAAAGACCTGTTTAGGACTATTCATGCTTCGATACTGTCCAAGAGCTTTGTCACTTTGGCTTTCAAAATTCTCTCAAAATTCTTTCAAAAGGTGAGGATTTTAAAAGATTGATTGGTCTCCATGGCTGCTATGAGAAAACACCATGTTACTATACGGTTGAAGGGTTGAGTGGATGAAGGGGGCAAGTAACAATTTCGTAAAAATTGAGTTAGATGCATGGATGAAGGATGTAAGTGAGGCTCTATTTAGTACACTGACTCCCATAGTCCTAAGTAATAACAGCTGAGTTATTTTTTTAACTTAGGGGTTAAGTACAGGAAATGCACCTAAATGGAGTGTATAAAGGTGGTAAGTGCTTCACTTGCCCCCTTCATCCACTTTAAGTTTCACTTACACCCTTCATCCATACTCTCTGTGCTTCACTTACCCCCTTCATCCACGTAAAGTTTCACTTACACCCTTCATCCATACTCTCTGTGCTTCACTTACCCCCTTCATCCATGTAAAGTTTCGCTTACCCCCTTCATCCATAGCTCTTTACGCACTTGTCCCCTGCACTTACCCCCTTATTGTTTCGTAATAGTAGCGTATATACTCAGCTAAAATTATATCCACATCAGCTGACAATGAAAATTACCTTGAACATTTCCTATTTGCATTTTAGTGTGTTTTAAAAATGTATCGGACCGTATTGGACCCACTTAGTACAATGAGTTGTTAGCTATTCTTTATACAGTAGGTAACTGCTTCCAAGAAGTAAAAGATTGTACATGAAAAAGAAATATTTCTTAGGAAAATTGCAGAAATAAGACTGATAAGCATCTAATAAAATACAGTTATTAGGTACTTGCACATTTAAAAAAATATTTAGTAATTTTAATATTGTGGTAGGGTCTACCGGTATTTTTTTTTCATAGCTGGATTTTAGCATTGAGTATAAACCTAACTAGAGAGTCCACTCAATGGGGCAAAGCATTACCCGTGCAGCACCAGGCTGTGCAGCGTCGGCGGCCCGAACTACGCGACCTTCGGTAATGCAGTACATCAAGTTGCTAGTGCGCTCTACCGGTAACCATGCAAGACGCAACAATGACGCAACTCATACCGCTGCTGCGGTCTCGCTGTCGGCTTTGCTAATAATTCAAGCGTGCTCCTTGCGAAACCAATATGGTTTAAAAACTTACTTCTATGATGGTAAACATTTTATTCTAAACCACTCGTATAGAGTAATTTATTTTATAATGCTTAAGATGTTTACACTTTACATGAATGTACCTATGTTGTAAGATTGGACATTACTTATTTACGCCTCTGAGAAAGTCTGTAAGCATGCTATTGCTGTAAAATTCCATAATAAACCTTTTTTTTTAATAACATTTCCCTTTGAGTTAGTGAATAGGGATAGTTAATATTTCTATTTGATTGATAAATGTTATGAAATTATATATTTCCGCCATGTTTCAAAGTTCAAATAAAGCTTTCCCACTTTTCATGTGTCATTTCAAATTCGAATATCTGTATTCTGCTTAGAAACAAATTCAGATAGTTACAATATCCTAACTTTACTCTTTTACTATAATCGACGACAATGTATAAATTTACTGAAAATATTTATTGTCAATGTCATTTAAAATAGAGTCAACAAACGTAGGCATAATAAAAAATACCCCTCAATAATAACTAACCAACAGTGTATTTAATGCATGACGTAAATTTGCCTTTATACTGTTCGTTCATACACATGTATGTATTTTTAAACTACTTATTTAAAATGTGTATGGACCAATGAAATTTTTCCAACATGTACTTTTTGTTACCGTGCTACTTTTTGAAACACACTTAATACAGGGAGCGGCAGAAATATCTGACGGTTTTCAAGCGAGTACAGTCCGGCAGCCGAGTGGAGGGGGGTGGTGGGGAGCGGCTCATTCTCAAGGCCAAGTGTGACCATTTTAGTCGCCATGGAGCAGTGGACCAGTATACATCGCGCGTTTGCCGTTGAGGCGTTTTTTAAAAATGGCGATTCTGTTGTTGGTACGCAACGTAAGTTTCGGAGGCATTTTAATGTGGCTCGTGGGGAACCTATCCCATCCCGAAACACCATCAAATTGTGGGTGTATACCTTTAGATCCACAGGATCAACTGCAAAACGTAGGCCTACAGGCCGTCCAAGGCCAGTGAGGACGCCTGAGAACGTGGAGCGAGTGCGACAAGCTGTGCTAACGAGCCCGCATCGCCCGGAGCGTAGACAAGCTGCTGCTTTTGGCATGTCTGATCGCTGTCGGGTGAAAGTGAAGGCCTGAGTGCAATATTCGTCGAATATAGCGATCAGACATGCCAAGAGCAGAAGCTTGTCTACGCTCCGGGCGATGCGGGCTCGTTAGCACAGCTTGTCGCACTCGCTCCACGTTCTCAGGCGTCCTCACTGGCCTTGGACGGCCTGTAGGCCTACTTTTTGCAGTTGATCCTGTGATCTAAAGGTATCCACCCACAATTTGATGGTGTTTCGGGATGGGATAGGTTCCCCACGAGCCACATTAAAATGCCTCCGAAACTTACGTTGCGTACCAACAACAGAATCGCCATTTTTAAAAAACGCCTCAACGGCAAACGCGCGATGTATACTGGTCCACTGCTCCATGGCGACTAAAATGGTCACACTTGGCCTTGAGAATGAGCCGCTCCCCACCACCCCCCTCCACTCGGCTGCCGGACAGTACTCGCTTGAAAACCGTCAGATATTTCTGCCGCTCCCTGTACTTAATCTACACTCTCTCCTAAACGTCACAGGTCGCAGGCAGTGTGGCACTACTTGACAACTTAACACACCCTCTTGGATCGTTTTTGTGTCATAAAATGGTTTTTCTGCCTATGGGTGCGCCTTTTATAACCCTAAGCCCTCCCTCCGAACTAGTCAACTAGTCAGTATTTTGAGAAGAAAACTTTCAAAAAATGAAGCATATAGTAGGGGTCAAGTCATCCTTGATGTCTTCAATCAAAAAGGACATTATGAAGAAACATAGAGAATGGCTAAAACTAGAGTCTACTTGCAGGGAGCATCGTGACTTCGTAGTCAACTTCCTTGTGCGTTTGAAAATTATAAAAACTGTGCTGTTGACGTCCCGTAGCTTAAGAATGGCCCGCTACGGAAAATCTACTACAAAATCAGTACCACATCAACGTAAACTAAAAAATTTGCAACACTTGTAAACTTTGTTCAAGAGCTTCTTGTCATACACGCATATCTCAAAACTACTTAACCATAGATCAATGAATGAAGGCCAATAATTATTTTGTATTATTTATTACTCGAGTATCTTTTGCACATTGGTGCATCTTTTAAACTAATTTAAATTCACGACATTCGTTTATGTAACTGGCTGGGTAGCTGAGTGGTTATAGTGCTCGCCTATTAATCAAAAGGTCGCCGGTTCGATCCTGAGAAAAGTCAGTAGCTTTTTGATGGTTCGAAACTGGACCCAGCTGTTCCTGATCATTGGGCTTTAAATAAATGATCCTGACTAATGAAACCGCTGATCTTAGTCAGTAACAAAGCTACACAGGTCATCACACACCATTCAACACTCATCCTTCACTCATATTTGGGTTAAAATACGCACCCAGGTGGCGTCCCCATCTCAACGATTGATTATTATTGATTGATTATTATTATTATTTAATCATTCAGCTGGTTTCATTATTTATTTAATATCACGATTATTCTATGGTGTAAATTATAGTATTTTTCCCATGAAATATGTTTAGCAAGCTGTTTCGTTGTAAACTCTAGTATTTTAACATTACATACGTTTCGTAAGCAGGTTCGTTGCGTTTTAATATCGTGGTTATTGTATAGTGTAACTGGTTTTATAAAGTTCATGAAAAACGTTTAGTGAGTCTTTTTGTGGATTGTTTAATATCGTGATTATCCTATTGTGTAAATTTTAGTATTTTGTGCATAACATGCGCTTAGTTAGCTGTTTGTATTTTTTTTGTTTTTTTTTGTTACTGTTTCCCTAGTAAACTGTAAGTTGTTGTATATATACATGTTTCGTTATTAGCCTTTTCTTTGAGATTCGGTATCACGGTTATTCTATTGTGTAAATTGTAGTATGTTTTACAAGAAATACGTTTAGTTAGCAATTTCGTTGTTTTGCTATATTTTTTCTTTTACTGTATGACTTGTAAATTCTTTGTAGAATTATTGTAGTTTTTGGTCCATGACGTACGTTTAGTAAGCGGTTTTGTTTATTTTTTTGGTATGTCGTTTACTGTATAAGTTACCTTGTAAACTGTATTTTTTGTACAATACGTATTCCTTTGGTTACCCGTTGTTCTTTAAATAGTATTTAGATTATTCAGGAGTGTATTCTTTTTTCCAATGGCATACGTAGAGTATCCGGTTTGATTTATATTGCCTTTTTTTACATTACTATTTCCATATGATTAGTCAGCTGTTCGTTTTTGTGCATTACCCATTCCATATGTTTAGTCTGCTGTTCCGTTGTTTTTTTTTAAAGCGATTATTCTAGGCCTAGGGTGTAAACTGTATTATTTTGTTCATGTAATACTTTGAGTTAGATATTTGATTTGTTCATTGCGTTTTGCTAGGTTAAAAACGTCGTATTTGTTGATGTATTTGTTTGTTTAGCCGTAGTTTCCTTCTTCCTTGTTTTATTACCTTTTAATACCAAATTATTAATAGTAAGTAATTATTTGATGTAATAGGAAAATTGTTTTTACAAGATTTGTTCGTATTTTTCTTTTCGTCATTATTCTATTATGCCTTTAAAGTACAGGGTTATTCTAAATGATGGACCCATTTTTAATGCTTTATAATTTTAATACTATTAAACTTACCGCTATAAAATACACATCAAACGAAAAAGCAACTCAAAGAGTTTATGCTTTCCAAAGACACATCATTTAACAAAATCGATCCAGCAGAACTGTAGATTTAATTGTACAAAGTTAAAAAGTAATCTCCAACTTTTTTTACCACTAGAAATTTTGAGGTTACTTGACGTTTTTGCAAATAACTTTTAAATGGTGAGGAAATCGACCAAAGTGGAAGGTAATATTCCGAAAGAGAATAAAATTTCCTACAATCTACTATTGAGCATTTTTTGAAAATACTCAAGAAAAGTACCAAAAATTGCCTCAAAATGAAAAAAAAAAATTGAAAATCCCCGTCTTCAATGTAGACAATAAACATAGCAAACATTAAATTACACTTTTTTTTATTTTAAGCCAAATTTAGGCTACATTTATTGAGTATTTTCAAAATATGCATAATAGTAGATTGTAGGAAATTTTATTCTCTTTCGGAATATTACCTTCCACTTTTGGTCGATTTCCTCACCATTTAAAAGCTATTTGCAAAAACGTCAAGTAACCTCCAAATTTCTAGTGGTAAAAAAAGTTGTAAAAAAAGTAAAAAAGTATCTTTGGAAGGCATAAACTCTTTGAGTTGCTTTTTCGTTTGATGTGTATTTTATAGCGGTAAGTTTAATAGTATAAAAATTATAAAGCATTAAAAATGGGTCCATCATTTAGAATAACCCTGTATTTATAGTAAAATTCTTATACAGTAGCAATATGTATTTTTCAATTCATAACTTTGTATTGAGCCTCGATTTTGTTTGATTTATAATGTATTTATTTGTTGGTTTGATTAGCAAGTTCATTATATCAAGCCAATTTTACAAAGATTTTTAAAGATAAGGCTCTGTAAATCCTTTACAATTAAAACCTTTGTAGTTTTACACTCGTACTGTCAACCATATGAAGTAATGGTATAAAGATTTTTAAAAATTAAAGTGTCTGTCGATACCCTTGTACTTGTACTCTTGTAGCTACAACCAGTTTACATGAAGTAAATGGTATAAAGATAAAAAAATTAAACTGCCTGTACATACTCTTTTACTTGTACTCTTGTAGGCCTAGTGTAAAGCCGAATATAACTATGCATATTTTTGAAACGTTCTTCTCTCGTAGAATTAAGTGAAAGTAGCACGTGTTATGTCACCGAGGAATAGCCTCGTATGTAGCCTACAGTGGTTTGGGAATCAGGGGTGTACGACTTAACCGATGGTACCAGACAAATAATAAGGCGTAAAAATAAACACTGAAATAATTTTATAACACTTACCATTAAAATTCTGGTAAATATTTTCAGTTAAAACTTAAAGTAATAAAGAAATTTAGGATTTCTGTTATAGAATTTTGTTAAATAAGCAGTGCATATGCATTATCGTACGTGTTCTTAGTTTTAAGTTTTTATGTAGAGAATATGTAAACACACAACAGAAATAAAACAAACAAATATCAATATAATAAACTATCGGTTAAACGATAAAAATGGTTTGCTATAAAGTTGATCAGTATTGTACATAAAAAGAAAGGCAAAATTTTTTTTTACAAATCTTTGTAATTTGATGTGAGTTTAAAATCATGATAAAATTGGGATTCCTGTATAGCCTACAATTTATTGTAGCATTACAATAATGACAAATAACTTTTTAATTGCGTAATGTATGGATAAAATTATGTTATATTTGTTAGAGGCAGTTGTTGCCCGTTCATGTTCATTGCATTCGCTTTGTAGAGACAGCTCGACCGGTGAGGGAGAGGCCGGTTGCTGTGGGAAGTGACGGTGAGTAGGGGGGAGGAGACTGACGCGCGAGCGTGGTGCAGACTACCTTAACACAGCGTGTCTCAACGCAGACTGAGCTCAGCCGGGCTCAGCGGCGTACTGCATTACCATTGACTACCACGACCCAAGCGTCAGCGGCCCGAACTACGTCGTCAAAAGCGGGTACCGACTAACAGTGTAGCGGTGGGCTCTCTAGTTAGGTTTATACTCAATGATTTTAGTTACTATTTTTTGGACAAAATTACAAGTCAGCACATAAAGTCTATGATAAAGACTTTAAGTAAGTTTACTTGGTACATATAAGTTTATTTTGGTGCACAACCTTATTTAAATGTACTTTTTATGGTAACATGTTGAAATAAAGTATTTTTTTTTACCAAAAATAATTTATTTCAATGGTTTACATATCACTTAACCCCTTTTTCCACTACAAAAATTTTTTTTTTAAGTGGATAAAGGAGGTAAGTACTATTCTATAGTCTATAAAAGTTAAAATTTTAATAGTAAGGAACATTTCAATTTTTATTAAGTATTGCGCAAAAAATTTTACTTCTCTGCCCTTCTTAATAACGTTTTAAGAATGAAAAAAAAAATTAAAAAGTTATAACCTGCAAACTTTAGGTCTATTTATCTCAAAAGTAACAAAATGTTACTTGTCCCCTTCATCCACTCACCCCTTCAGTTATCATTTAGTAAACTGGTTTATGCCGTAAATAAATTAACTGAATATCATTATTACAGTACAAATGTATTGCAAGAAAAAACTCAAAATAAGAGCTGTAAACAATAAAACTACACTCTAAAACTTGTTGATGCTATGCAAATGTCTTACTACTTCTCTAAAGTGATAAAACTTTTTGATATGAAAAACTCTTCATAGAATAGAGTAGATAGTTTTATTATAACTTTCAGGTTACACCTTACTTGATATAAACAAAAATGTCTTTAATGCGTCTCAGAAGAAGTCCTATATTAGAATAAAATACCAGTGTTATATTTAGCAACCTTTTGCGTACCCTATTAGCCTCTGTACCCTAATTTTCTCAAGTCAGCCACCAGAATAATTTTGTTTTATATCAAGATGTAAAACAAAGTAAATTTTAATTTAACTAATGGGCTGAGCTCACTCATTAGTGACACTAAGCAAACCATTAAACACAGCTTTTGAGTTGCAGTACTTACGTTGTCCAAGTGTTGTGTCCTACTAGTAAATCTTGGTTGTGTGAAACAAGTTTGACGATGGCAGAACATCGTGTGTCTCCCCGCACCTTGGAGCTGACATCTCCCTCTAGAGCATCCGCGACATCGTCCAAGTCTGGCTGAAGATTCATCACTCTAAAGCACAAATTATCGGTAAAGACAACACTCCTGGGGCCCATTTCATAATAAAGTACAAACTAATATTATTAGTAAATCAGCTGATCGCCCAATGCAAATCTAATGGAAATTACAAGTTACAAGTTGTAACTTGTAACTTGTAGTTTATTATGAAATGGGCCCCAGGCTGCAATCAACACATTTAGAGAGTGAAACATCAACCCCGCTTGTCAAAACCCAAGGAATTCCTCAATGCAGCTGTGTCATAATCTTGTTCTATTACTCTATTCTAAATAGTCAGCTGTTGGTAAATATTAAATAGTAAACACTTCCTTTTTTTTTTTTAAAAAACATTACATTACAAACATCTATGTTGTTAAAATAAAGTGATATAATTTACAATGTGCGTGTATTTCAATAGTACGGTCACAACAAGCTGCCTTATGCCTCTTTTGTCCATTTTGTACACAGCAAACCTTCCTAGCAATGTGCAACATTGTTCAGTTCATTTGTATACCAATGAATCACAGCTGCACTTGTTCTATGAGCAATCCCAGATGAGAGCTTTATTCAATCTCATAAATTATGACCTAGAAAACATCCTTTGGTGGTGAGAGGCAAACGGGTTGAAACTCAATATTGACAAGTGTATTGTAATGCATACGGCGCCACGAGACTTGGTGCAGTCCCTCAGCAAGAGAAAAGTTGTTGTGTTCAACGAGGAAAGTTTAATCTTGTGTGACAGGTCAAAGATTCTTGGTGTTGTGCTTAATGGCAACCTCACCTTTTCTGATTAATGCTTTGCAGCCTGTTTTAGGAAGGCTGAGGGGGCTGTACATATTCGCTGCAAGAATCTGCAAAGATGCTCAATATGATGCAGTCACTAGAGTTCTGTCAGTGATTACCGTACCCTCTGTCTCCCTGCTTATTGAAACAGCATCTTTGGAGAAGACATGCACCAAATCCAAAAACTGCTACTCAGCAATTTGTTTAATTTTTGGACTCAAACGATTTGAACATGTCACTCTATTCAGAGCAGTAGCAAGGATGGCAATACAGTAGACTCCCTCTAGTTCGGCTTCGGTTGGATCGGCCGCCGGATGGTCCGGCCTGGTCTAAGGGGGACAAGTCACATCGTCACGGGGGAATTGCCTTCGACAGGATTTAACTTGAATGTTTAGTTTCCGGCCAGAGAAGTAAACAATTCATGTCAGTTTAGTTGACGGGTGCTTCTATGGGTGAATTGTTGCATATTACCTATGTAAAACTATGTTACATAACCTCAAAAATACCAAGAACATTTTATAAATAGTTTCTATTCGGTCTAATAAGTTGAAATGCAGTGTATAATTAAATATTTCGGACCATTTTTTTATGCGGTAGGTTCTCCCATTATTATTTTTGAAACACCACAGTTTATTTGACAAAAATAAATTAAAGCAAAACAAAGAAATAGCCATCGTTAGCTTCAAGGTCAAGCTATCCGCTTGCACTGACAATCATCTGTTCTTTACACAACTGATGTCTGCTGTGCACTTGTTTGCTATCTCACAAACAGTTTGTGATTGGGTGATTAGTAACCATTTTTTTCTGTTCTTTACGTGATTTATTGTTGTACGTTCAGTGTTGTGTAATTTTTGTTTTGCTTGAGTAAGCGTGATTTTAACGTTACAGTTTTTATTACTGAACCAAGGTTATTGACTTAACATATCACGATTGCGCAATACTATGATTTGTATTTTGATGATGAAAATGCACTACATCCGGTTAGTCCGGCCGTTTTGTAGTTCGGCCAGTGGTCCGGTCCCGAGGTGGCCGAACTAGAGGGAGTCTACTGTAGTAGATATTTTTTGCAGGATCATGGAAAAGATTCTTACCCTACAAAAAAGAGCAATATCAGATGCCTAGCAGGACTACACTACCAAGAAAGCAGCTGGGAATCTTTTAAAAACTAAAAATCCTCACAGCCAGGGACATATTTACGAATAGGCGGACTAGGCACCCGCCTAGGGCAGCAAATTTTAGGGGCGGCAAAATTTTGGGGGTTGAAAAATTAAAAAATGAGGTTTTAATCTAAAAAAAGAAACGTTAAACAAATAATTCTGGGAACGGTAAAACAGCCATTTGAAATATTTTAATTAAGTATACAACTATTTCAGAACACATTAAAGTCAAACAAAAGTAAATAGTTTATTGTACGGCTGTGCTGAGTTTTCCGCACTGCCCTATTAATTAGTCTACGCACACGCGTGCCACGGGAGCGTAGTGGCGGAACGAAGTAAACACTTCCCCCTGTTTACACTTCATACGCCACTATGCAGCGGCAGCGCTAGCTTAAAGGTTGAAAAGTTGAAAGAAGGAAAGTGTGAACAAAATACTTACTACTGTACCAACTTAACTCATTTAAATTATTGTATATTATTCTTTTAAGTAAAAGTACACATTTTTTTCTTTTCGATTCATGCAGGTTTCTTTATAAAACAGTTCTATAAGTAAACATATTTGTTTCATTTCAAAGTCAATAGCATGTCTCTCAAGTGGATCTGACTAAAAGCGTTATAAGAGCCCTTGTATACAGACGATGTTGTGTGCCATTTCACGCCGCAAAACGTGATTATAATGACTGATTGGATAAAAAACGTTGCATTAAGTGTATCCAAGTCAGAATCACCTTTTACATAAAAACGGCACAAAAAAAGTCCGTTAAAAGGGCTCAAAAAGTTATTAAATTTGTTGATGCAGCATGCAATATTGCCGATTATTTTTCTACAAAATCACCTGACAGGACATGTATTGGGGTGATATTAGTGAGGTTGGGGAGTGCCCTGAAAAGTATTGGGGGGGGGGGCGGTAAACTTCGTCACCGGCTTCACTTTTCAAGAGTGAGGCTTGATTTTTTTAGGGTAAGCTTCTTGTTCTTTGGCCCAAAGCTGCATAACAACCTCCTATCTGGCCACAAAAAATATGCCCTGTCATCTTCTAGAATGAAAATCAAAGAATTATACCCAGATGGTTAATTGTTATTTGGATTGTCTTGTCACTGCAGCCCAACAAATTCTGCCTACTGGCCTTAAATTCTAAACATAAACCTTCAAAAGGTCCAAGCTGTCTATTACCTAACTGATTCCAAAAATTTAATTTTTACATTTATCTGTTACAGTACCTGCAAATTTGTACTTACATAAAGTCCAGCAATGTAAGATTTTTCTTTGGATCTATTAGCACCTCTTGGTATCCTGTGTAGAGTCCTGTAATGTGGTTGAAAAAAATATCCACCTAATAACAAGTTTCATACACATCAATATGTAATTTATAGAGATAACTAGCAGTTACCCGGCGTGCGTTGCTGCGCTAACAACTATTATTTTAAACTAGGTGAAACCCGTCGAAATCGACGGTTGCTTTCAAGGCTTACGTTAATTCATCTAACTGCGATAAATTGGGTGAAATATACATATTTTTAACATTTAGCATTGTTTAAAGAGTAATAGGTGTAAAAACAATAATGATTTAATTGAGTTAGTTGCCAAGTTTGGTTGATCATTCAATGATTCAATGAATAAAATATTCTCCATACCGTACGTCATCGGAGTTATTATTAGTATGTTATATGGTATCTCTTCCTTTGGAAGAACCTTTAAATAGTATTAAAATCGTATTGGTGGATCTTTTGTAGCTAAACACTTCCGTGATTTCACCAGTGTAGTATGATTTTATTTCAAACTAAAATATTTTTTGGGAAGACATATTCTAACTTCAAAGGGGAGGTAGGCCTATATCTGTTACAGTGTAATTTTGATTTTCCCTTCGTCACGTAGCGTCAGTTCATATCGTACTTCTGTCTAGCATAGTTTTGAGAAATTTATTGTGGAGTTACTGTTAAACCTGGAATTCTTTGTAATGGGGATGTCAGTTAGTAGTCTCAGCCTTATCAATAACATAAAGTTGTCAATATAACCACTCTACGGAATGTTAGGTGTAGTTGAATACTTGAAGTGAAGTTGGATTTTATTCTTGAACTGTTAGGGGCCTCCTAGTTCATATGGTCTTGCGGCTTCGTTGGCAACAAATAATGCAAATGACATAGCAATGGGAGTTTTCCAAAAAGCAAAAATGCTGTAAATTGGATGTTACGTATACATTGACGTTTACATATTGTTAATCAACGTATCTTATAAAGGATTATGTGATCTAGTTTAAAGGGAATATGACCTTTCTGTCATGACAGGAGCTGCATAGTATTTTCTCTTTGTAGCATATATTACAGCCAAAATGTCGTGTTATTTTCATTAATGTTAACATAGATAAAAGGAGTAGACATACTCTCTTATCTATACTCCTTTCAACTTCAAGTTCATGTTGAATAAAATCACACTACCAAAACTCAATGTTTCATTGTTCATTGTTTGTTAAACAATTGCATGGAGACAAAGCAGTGAAATATTAAATTAAATTATTTGTTACCTCAGTCTAATCTTTATAAAGCATGTTTTTTTGCATGTAAAATTAGTTGAATTATTATCCATTATTTAATTGAGATGCAAGGGCTGCTAGTAAGGTCCATTAGTTATTTAATTTATTACACCAAAATACTATTATTTTAATTTAATCTATTCCACAAGAATTTTATTGATTTATTTCCAAAAGACATTTATGTATTTAAATGTATTGAGGTAAAACAAGGAATTATAGTAAACATTTCGTGTATTAACTCTTATTATATCTCATTCTAGTAATTTTAAATAGTTTGATTTGTATGGTTTGAATAAGAATTGCATCATTTAATTTCATTTATGTAAATATTTAATTTATAAGTTATTAGGATAGGCACGGGCAGGTGGGCCTATGCGGGACGATGATTGGCAACACAGATGAAAATACACCTTTTGAATACGATTCTTGCTTGGAGCTGGATAATGTTTTTGAAAGCGAAAGATTTTTCAATGAAACCCCAATAAATAGTAGTCTTAAAATATTTCACACAAACATAAGAAGTTTCTAAAAAAATGTTGACGATTTATCAGTGTATTTACAGTCTTTGAATGCTAATCTAGATATCATCGTCTTATCAGAGTGTTGGTTGAGCGGGGGGAGGTGGGTCACTTGGACGGGTTTGACTGTACAATGACAGATACACAAAACAACAAAAATGACGGAGTCATTGTTTTCATCAACAAACGTCTGTCTGCTACAGTAACTCAAGTTAACATCAACAGAGTTTTTGGTATTTCTTTGGAATTCAGTCTTTTTAATAAAATATTCAATCTGTTAGCTGTTTACAGGACGTTTGATAGTGAAATTGATCATTTTATAAATGGTTTGGAATGCTATTATAATCGCATAAGTAAAGATACTAACTGTATCTTTTTGGGTGATATAAACATCGACTTACACAAAACTGATGCAATAACGGATCTTTACTTAAACACTTTACTAGTTGCTGGACTAGTCCAGTGCATCGACAAGCCGACCAGAGTGACACACAACACATCTACTTGTATTGACCACATTTTTGTCCGTTTTCATGATATGAGACGAGTCAAATATGCTGTCATACAATCTCACATCACTGATCATTACAGCACTGCTCTTACAATCACTAACACCATTCAGACGCCTACAGGAACTGGAACTGACACTCTACCACAGAACCAATTTCGCACCTACATTGATCACGCTTCACTAACTGAACATATTACAAAAACTGACTGGAGTCCAATCATGAGTAATCACGAGGTTAATCAGTGCACAGCATGTTTTTGTTCGACATTGAGTAACTGTATCGAAGCCTCAACAAAAACAATTAAAAATCACTCAACAAGATTTAAAAAAATAAAGCCTTGGATTACCGTAGACCTCATTAAATTAATTCGAAAACGAGACAAGTTAAGTAAAAAGATCAAAACCCAACCTTTTAATATATTACTTCTAGATAGATTCAGGGCCCTGAGCCTATCTTTAAATCAAAACATCAAACTCGCAAAGAAAAATTATTATAGGGGTAAAATTTCAGAATCTAACAGGGATCCAAAATTATTTTGGGGCATAGTTAGTGAAATATCGGGCAGGAATTGCTCTAAGGACCATTTTCCATTTGAAAAAGTTTTACCTGGTTCTTCGAATAATGCGAACATGAAGACTAAAATAGCTAACGATTTTAATAAGTTCTTTACATCAGTAGGTTCTAAATTGGCCAACTCAATCAATTCAGCTGGGGCTCCAGTCGTAAACGACGCTGACTTCTCACTCGACACGAATTTCACATTCAACACGGTCACACACGCTGACATAGAACGTTACGTCCAGGGTCTGCGCGGAGGGTCTGCACCTGGCCATGATGGTATCTCGGCCTTTGTTCTTAAAGAAAACATCCACTCTCTATGTGCTCCTCTTCTGCACATTGTCAATCTTAGCCTGACATCTGGTATATTCCCAAACGAGCTGAAATTGGCCAAGATCATTCCATTGCACAAATCCAATGATTTCACAGACATGAATAACTATCGTCCGATTTCTTTGTTAAGAGTAATCGCTAAGCTATTAGAGAAAATATCTAAAGACCAACTTGTTTTTTACCTCCACCAGTGCAATATATTAAGTGAAAATCAGTATGGTTTCAGGAGTGACAAAAACATATCTGATGCTTTATTCGATATTAATAAATGCATTAACGAGGCAATTTATGGCAACAAACGAAGTATGTTAATATTTTTAGACTTGAAAAAAGCTTTTGACTCAGTGGACAGAAGTCGATTGTTGCGTAAACTTGAGCTTGTAGGGGTGCGCGGCACCTCGCTCGCTTGGTTCAGCAGCTACCTCTCTGATAGGCTACAAACTGTCGCACTTGGTGAAGTGTCAAGCGATGTTTTGCCAGTGGAGTATGGTGTGGTCCAGGGTTCGACCCTTGGTCCTGTTTTGTTCCTCCTTTATATGAATAATATTTCTAAAATTCAAACAGAAGGAAAATTAACATTATTTGCTGATGATACTCTAATATTTGTAACCGGATCATCCTGGGAGGAGGTTAAAAACAAGGCAGAATCAGACCCCTGTTTGCTAAAAAAATGGCTTGACCAAAATGTATTGTCTCTTAATATATCTAAAACCAAATTCATGCCAATTTCATTACGCAAGATAACCGAATACAAACTTGAAAACCTATCTATTCATGTCTGTGGAAATCATTCCAATAACTCTTGTTTTTGTAGCAAAATTGAAAAAGTTGATTCATACAAATATCTTGGTATTGTTTTTGATTCAAAGATGAAATGTTCGGAACATGTTGAATATCTAAAAAATAAATTACGTAAATATATTTATGCATTTAGGCAACTTAGTGATATACTCGAAGAGCAAGAAATTAAAATAGCATACTATGCATATGTTCAATCATTGGTATCTTTTGGAATTATTGCTTTTGGTGGTGCTTACAAAACTATCTTGCAACCTGTTTTTGTTGTACAGAAAACAATACTGAAAGTTGCTTTTAAAAAACACTTTAGATATTCAACTGACGACCTTTTTGTAGAAACGGGAGTTTTGACAGTCAGACAGTTATTAATAAATTTATTTTAGTTCACATGTACAAAAACTTTGATAATATTTTTATAAAAATTACTCATCCCCACAATACGCGCTTTTCTCGAAATGTTGGTATAAATGTTCCACAAACTTTAAAATCATTTTCACATACGAATTGCTTTCACTTAACCCAAATCATTTATCGTAACATGTGTAACAGATATCAAAATGTCAACATTTTAAATTCACCCTCTCTCTCTCTATTTAAGAGGCATGTAGTAGCGTGGCTTGTAGGATTGAGTGCAGAGGACACCGAGGCCGTTATCGCGTTGGGCGGACCTGACCGTTGACCCTACACAATCACTGATACACCACCTTCACTGACTGACCAACACACCACACTCCACCTCTCCTCTTCAATCTTCACCAGATTTTTATACATTTTCTCAGTTTTGTACAAAGAGTTTTTTATCGTCAATTTAATTCACAGAAGAAAACTAAACATTCAGTTTCAAGGAAGAAAATTTTTTAAAATTTAGAATTATACGAATTATTTTTTGTTTTCCTATACATTTTTTTACCTCCCATCTAAATTAACCTTTTTTGCAACTCGAGTCTACGCACAGGCCCTGCCTATGTAGACTTTTTCCTTTGTTATAGAAGGTATTTTTTTGCACATTTTTCGTTTTATTTCTACAGAATATAATTTTTCTTTTGTTATCTAGTTAGTAATGTTTGCTGTATTATATTTAAGT